GTAGCTCATAGGAGTTTTTAACTTCCACTGGTTTTTGATAGTTTTCAACAATTTCAGTCAAAATATTTGACTAACTAACTTATCAAAACTCCTCTCTTTTTATGGAAGGTTAAGATTAGAGCTTAGTAATACATTATGACTAATTTGGAAATAATTGCACCGAATGCAAAACTATTCAATGTGTGAATCATTGAAAATAATCAGCGGAAAGGAAATAATTTACCTTAAAGGTGTTATCAGAAACGCTATTAGATTCAAGATTTTTGAGAAAAAAGAGTTTACTCAGAGAGGATAAAGGGCTTAGTGATTATGGATAACAGGCATCTTATTATGAGAGCTTAAATATTATGGACAATGGCTATAGTGCTCTGAAAGTTAAAACATTGTGATCAATTTGTATCCTACTGTGTAAGCTTAAAGACTGTAAATATCTTGTTGGAATCCTACTGTGTAAGTTTAAAGATTGTAGATATCTGGCTGGAATCCTACTGTGTAAGTTTAAAGATTGTAGATATCTGGCTGGAATCCTACTGTGTAAGTTTAAAGATTGTAGATATCTGGCTCGAATTCTACTGTGTAAGCTTAAAGATTGTAGATATCTGGCTGGAATCCTACTGTGTAAGTTTAAATATTGTAGATATCTGGCTGGAATCCTACTGTGTAAGCTTAAAGATTGTAGATATCTGGCTCGAATTCTACTGTGTAAGCTTAAAGATTGTAGATATCTGGAATTCTACTGTGTAAGCTTAAAGATTGTAGATATCTGGCTGGAATCCTACTGTGTAAGCTTAAAGATTGTAGATATCTGGCTGGAATCCTACTGTGTAAGTTTAAATATTGTAGATATCTGGAATTCTACTGTGTAAGCTTAAAGATTGTAGATATCTGGTTGGAATTCTACTGTGTAAACTTAAAGATTGTAGATATCTGGAATCCTACTGTGTAAGTTTAAAGATTGTAGATATCTGGAATCCTACTGTGTAAGTTTAAAGATTGTAGATATCTGGCTGGAATTCTACTGTGTAAGTTTAAAGATTGTAGTGCTATCGTAAATTTGGCCTCAATATTTAAGTGAAGAAACAAGATTTTGTTTAGCTATGTAATTTGAGTCTCAAATCCATGTGTGTCCAGAATTTTTCGCGTATTGGCGTTTGAAACTTAAAATGACGACTCTTCTTTTCTTGGTACTCCGCCATATGTAGAGAGAACATATTATATGGAAATAGAAAGCTAAATTTCTATTTTGAGACGAATATTTGGGGAATTTTAAGAGATTTTCGTGCTGTTCGGATC